TTAATTAATAGAACTATGTTTGATGTATCAAAAAAAAAGGATTAAAAACAATGTATCGTATACTCAAAACTTATTCACAAATTTCTTACATACAATTTAACATTTTGAAATAAAACATGTTCCAATAAAATCACGATGTAATAATTGCGTTATTGAAGACATACCAACTCGTGTCATTGAAACGTGTTCGATTTTAAAATATTCAGTTGCAAGAAACTTGTAAGTGACTAATTTTTAGGTCACAACAAACGAATTGTATATTAAAGATTTTATTTTGAACGATTCTGCCGTTTGAGTTAAATACCGATTAAATTAATAGGAGTTTATATTATAGTTGAAATCGTTCTGCTATTTGTATGTTTCAACTTGCTTCTATTGCTCAATTAGCCTCGCTCTATTCTTTATCAAGGACTATTCGATAAATTTTTTATCGCGTATTTTTCCTTTGTTTTTTACCGTACAAGAATATATCAAGAAGGAATTATACTTTTCAAACAAAAATGATCGATCTATACAATTTTGTAATTTGAAAAAAAAAGAAGTAAACAAAAATATTATATTAACAAAATTCATATGTTTTTTCATTCAAATTATAGAGTGATGTTAATTGATCGTGTATATGTTTAGGAGAGTTTCTTAATTCGTCGATTGATCAGTCGCATTATATTAAAAAATATAACTTTACTTTATAAAAGTATAATGTGATAAGTCAATCGATGAATTAAAAAATTTACTTTTTTTTTTTGTAAAAATAATTGAAAAAACTGATATGATTCATATTCTTGTACTGCCGTTTACATAGGATGCGGAAGCGACGTCACTTTGTAAATTCCATCAGAGAAACGGATCGGAAAAAAAAAGAAGTTTCATCGCTGTCATTTCCGCTTGTGTTCGCATACATTCTGGCCTAAATAGCATTTCCCATTTTTCGGTTCGGACCCATTCACGATTTTCCTTTCGGATTACGTTATCTCGGGATCAACGGTTGGTGGTTTCTCACACCGTTGTTTGGACTTACCTGCTAATTCGACAAGACCTGTCTCGATCGGTTTTCATTATCTTTCACGCTGCGTAGCTTGTGGTGACGTCGTTTACAGTATCGTGCCCGTATCCTAATCTATCGGGTATCCCAGTCGGTGTTCCTCAGCTCGAAACGAGAAGTTTGATGTTTCCCCTCTTTCCCCTCCGTCATGGACGTGACAATATTTGTCGCGACCGAGGTGAGAGCAATAGGTGCGGACGCGCGTTATTTGCCCTATTCTCTGTGAGATGCCGTCTATTTGCCGAGGCTTTGTTTCCACCAGTTTCCGTTTCCTGCGCCAACACGGCGGCTCTTCTGATCCATCCGGTCAACCGAATACGCACAACTGCTTTTGGATATCAAGATAAGCGACTTCTCGGCACCATCAACTCCTGATTACAGCCTCTGATCTCTGCGTCTCCGTTTGTATGTACATATCGCTTCTGCGGTAAAATGCCAGAAAAACTGGAAGGACATCGGATTTTTGGATTCTCATAAGAAAAATAAACTTTAGACTTTAATAAATATAATCTTAATAATATACGTGATTAGTGAAAAATATAATAATTGAGTAATTGTGATTGCGACTCAACAAAATGGCGATTGCAATTCTTACGAATAAAATTGATAATATAATCTTTGAGACAGTAATCTTCAAATTAATTTCTTGCAATCATATGTGAAGTTATTATATAATATAATTGTAATCAAACTTCATGGTAAATTCGTTCAATTTCTGAATTATATCACTCCCTCACTTCGAAAGTTATACAATTAAAAAAAAAACGTGATTTTTTAATTAATACCATAAATAAGTTAAATATCTACTTTTTGTTGTAAAATAAAAATAATAAAGTAGAATTTAATCATGTTACTAATATATATTTTTTATCGATAAAACGCATTTATTAATAAAAGCGCATTTTCTGAATATAGGGATATAAGAATATAATATCCTTTATATTTATACATTTTATTACATTTTCGCAATTTGGAATATTTTATTTATAATTAATAATAATGATTTTTGCAATTTTAAATATTTTGTTTATAATTAATAATAATATCACTTATTATTAATAAAATATAATTTGAATTCATATTGCAATAAACAAATAATATTAAAAAATGTTGATGGGTTTGTATAGAAATATGGAGAGTCTCGATATTTTTCAAGTCAACTTCCGCAAATTTGTTGCAAATCATTATAAGATTGAATAAAAATTTTAATGCAAAAAGGAATAGATCAAGTAACTTCAAAATTATTTTAATGTGCGTATTTCTTTTTACATTAATTGTTTAAATTATCTTCTATTGAAAATATTTGCTCATTGTTATTTTCTCAAATTTCTTGATAATTTGAAGTTTATGTTGAATGTTGTAGGCTGTTATGTGATTTATTTAATTAGATTTTGCAATAATTTTTCTAGATACGCGAAATATTTTCATATATTTTCAAATATTTATCATTAATACGAGATTATTATGATCGTAGTTGTCAACCTCTTCTTTTGCTCGAATAATCAGATTTTTAAACAAATTTTCAGCTTTCTTCTGCACGCGAAAAAGTGATATCCAACTCGAGAAACCTTCAGTTTTGAAAAGGAATTTCCGGCTTAATTTTTATGGCCCTTTTTTTATAAAAAGCAGTAAAACATTATGGTTTTTTTTGCTTATTTGAACAGATTATGACCAAATATTTCTTTTTCCATTTTTTCTTTTGAAAATTTATCTTCGGCAGAATTTGACAATTCTATAGTCTGGGAATGGCAATCATGGTTTTAACTCAGAGCAAATAACATCAAAAGTTGCATCATAAAGCGTAAAATCTTTCGTTTTTAAAAATTAAATGATGTTATATATTTTTAAGATATACATATAATAAATATGTGGATAAACAAATAATGTATCATTATACATATATATATAATCAAATACAATTTAATTAAATTCGGCATTCGCTTGATATTAAATATGCAGAAAATGTAGCCAAGACTCGATATAATTAGCAACATTGAGTTCAACTCTATCGACGTTTCAATACCATTCGCTGCATCATTATTTTACACCAAAATAGTTAAATACTTTTGACATCGGCAATTTATACAGTAATCAATATGTATATTTCTAACATGCTGTCGTGCACGTCAAAAATACTCAAACATCTCTTAATCTGTCATTTAAATCGCCATCAAGGTAACGAAGACTACCCTCTATTTACTATTATCCAAGTTTCTATTGTCATTCAGCTGCCTTTCCATCTTTGGCGATACGTTTTCGCAGGCTGAATCGGTGGCCACACGGCTCGCCGCATGCCAAGTTCGTCGGCGTCGCCTTTGTTGCCAATCGCTCCCTCGTTTTCTTCCTCTTCATCGTCCTCTTCTTCCTCTCTTCATCGTCGTCAATCTCTCTTTGCCGTTCCCGAGGAATTTTTCCACCACTCGATCATTCTGGTGACTCGTGAGGGAGGCGATCGTCCCGTCCGCGTAGGATTGTCCAATGAAGCGATACCGCAAGATCTCGATGGGCGGCGCCCGGAATCCCGGCGATGGCTCTCCGGCCCGGCGACTTCGTGGTGGGGCCCCGTGGGGCCCGAGCCGGCCGCCTGGTGGGGGGATTGACATCGACTACTGTGCATTTCCCACGTGCCCTGGGAACCCCCGCGGCATCGTGTCAGCCCCCGCTCTTCGCTTTTGCACGCTCCTTCCACCTCCACCTTCTCCCACACTATCTGCTTCTCATCGTCAGCGGCAAGCGTCTCTCCTTCTGTCTGCCTGTCTGTCTCGCTTTCTTTTTCTCTCTGTCTTTCTCTCTCCTTTTTCTCTCCCTTCTCTCTCTCACTTTCTCTCTCTCTCTCTCTCTCTCTCTCTCTCTCTCTCTCTCCCCGCTTCTGCTTATCTACCTTTCTCCCCGTCTTTCTTCACCTAGTGCGGTAGAAATCAAGAAATCGACGCACCCGTGGATTTTCTCCCGAGAATCGGTACATCGCTTCGTCTTTACGCGTAGGTGTCGGGATTGCCACGGCGATCGCGCGCGCTTATATTATTTATCCACGAAAATATCTACAGCTCTCTCCTCCATCCAAAGTCGACACCGGCAACACATAATGATACTCCTACATATACAGATAGGCAGGTAAGATAGATGGAAGATGCGCGCACGCCGATGGGAGTCAGTGGCTCTAGCTTTTGGATACGAGCGCTACCTCCGTAGCTTTTTACGGCCGGGGTTGGCTACCGCCCCCGCGGGGGGTATCCTTTTGGAAAAGGGCGAAGGCGGAAGGAAGCGGACCAAGTATGCCGGAGCGGTATTCGAATACTTTAAAAGAAGGTAGGGGAGACACCTCAACGATTATATACCAGAAGGGGTCTTAGCGTGGGTGAAGAGGGATGATCTCGTCTCACGGTTATGAGGGCGGGCCCAGACACGGTGCGGTGGAAGGGATCGGAACCCGTAGAACGTGGAAGAGAGGGAGCAACTCCGCGGGGACAGTTGAAGGGAAGGGAAGGGAGGGCGGACGGGTACACCAAGCGGGAGCTCAGGAAGCCGCGTCGACGAAGGATTTGTGAATAACCGCGCTGCTATTCGGCGACCGGGTGAGACAAGGACGCACGTAGACTCGGGACAAGGCGCGCTACCACTTCTTCCCTTCTTCGTCGGACTTCCTCTTCATCATCGTCTTCACCTCTTCCTCTGCCAACACCCGCCGTCACCCTCTTCCCTCATTTTCCTTCTTCTGCTCCCGTTCCTCCTCCGCATCCTTCTCATCACCACCACCTCCTCCTCCACCTTCTCCTCCCTCGCCTCCCTGGCCGCCTCTTTTCTACCTCTACCATCGCAACGAGGTCGAGGAAGGAACATCCTGGACGTGTACGTTCCCCGTGGAATTGAAGGGAGGCTACCTTCACACGATAACTGGTGGGTATCGGTGAGTTGGTTCGGTAGGGAGGTGTCTCCCGGTCCTCCAACCAGAAGAAGCCAAACGACGACGACGACGAAGAGACCTTTGGCGGTTACACACGGCGTCCTACCGTCTTCTGGTGTGCCTACCTATTCGGGCTACCAGCGAACCGAGCGACCAAACGAAGCTTCAGTCGACGCCGCGCACCCAAACGGTCCAGACCTGTCAGCCCGGAAGACACACGCGCAGCAACTCAACACTTTCACGAGCTACCGACCTACTAAGTAATACGGAGATCCCGACTGTTGGCAGCGTGACACTATACGCGCTACTACAGTTCGTTTTTTTTTACAACTCATCGCATTTCGCGAGTTTCGTTCTTTCGTTCATCGAAAGTTTACGCTTCTATCCAAGTTCGAAAATTGTCCTTTGCGGAAGAAAACTACTGGACGTTGCTCGAGGACGAATCCCTTATTCGCATTCTTTCAGTCTCTATTGGTAAGTCAATTCATATCATCTATTTATCTAGCATGTAATTTCAATAATGTATTACACAAATATAATTATATTTGAGATTGAAGTTATAGTTATTTATTATATGTACACACTTAATATAATAGCTAATTAATTATGAATTCAATAATATTTGAAATGACGTTAACTGAAAAGATTAGTTACATTGTTTATAAATCGAATATTTTCTACAAAATCGTATCTCTCTTTCTTATTCTTCTTCTTTCTCACTGTATATCTCGGGTTATTAGAATATAACAAAATAGGTATCACATTTTAAACATATATAGAACATTAAAATTTTTTTTTTTTATGGGATGGAGTACCACATATTGATATAGTTTTGCTTGAATATAATTCTCTTCAATTTGTTTCTATTACAATGTGTTAATATTTATTTAAAAATTTTTTTAACTTATGTAGGACGACAAAATAAAAAAATCGGCTTTTACGCTTTATCAGGAATTAATTCTACCATTAAGCTATTTTTATATCTTGCAATCTTTGCTTCATTTTACGATGAAAATCATCGCCAAATATCACTTAAATTCTGTAAGCATAATTCTGAAAGCAAGAATATATCTATTAAATCTTCGAATCTTCGCATTTTCTATTGTATATGCCTCCACGTGTTAAGAATTAAATGAACGAGAATAGGGGTGTGGTCTATATTCGCTCATGTATATCAAGTCCTTGCTTCTGAATCAGTAGCAGGTTGTAGGGCGGTGCACAGTAGCTACTGCATTTTGATTGGTCCTCAATCTTGCGGGTTGTGTCCACGGCGATTTTACAATGGTCTCCTTCAAACCTTCTAAAGATTCACCATTTTTTTTTCTAGTAATCCGTATTTTCAATTAATAATTACAATTTCTATAGATATACATACATCTTCCAAACACATAATTTTAAGTTTTGTATTATAGATGACTTTCTAAAATTCAGTTCACTTTTAATTTCCCGGGATAATATTCAACGGTATT